AATTGAGTTTAATTAATATATATGATATGCAGTATATAAGTATATAAATATTTTAATATATTAAATTATATTATATTAATAATATTTTGAAGATTTCATATACTGATGTATTATTTATTTATTCGTAATGTGATTTTATGGATACACAAGTACCTAAAATAATAATTTATAGATACGAAAGAAATTGCATATTGATTTGAATCAATATAATAACTCGAGAAACATTTAATTTACTTATAAAATTACTGTTTCATCATTGTATACAATTTTTAAATTTATAATATATTGTCTTTAGTTTATTCCGTTATTTGATTTACTGTTATTTTTGCAACATTTATAAAATTAATTCTATATCGGTTTTAAAATACTAATTTTTGATTTTTGAACAATTCTATCAATATCGAATTCAACAATAAAACGATTACATGCAGTGTTTCTTTCAGACATCTCTCCGGAGGAACTGAGCCCTTTGGTCCAAGGTCCCCCGTAGAAAATCTAAATGCAAACCTAACTTGTGAGATTTTATGTATTTAGTTATATCATTCACAACTATAATTTCAGAAAAGGGTAATTATTATCAATCAGATTATTTTTATTAATATTGATGTAATATAAATGACCCCCACCCCCGATTTTTCCAAATGCCCTCCCGGAGAAAATTGTTTAAAAGAAACGCTGATTAGATTACATGAGATTTTTTATTTTAATCTTTGACCACAATCTTTGATCACAAAAATAATGTGAGCTGTTTGGTAAACTACCATTAAATATAAATAAATGCAATTTTTGAGGTTAGAACAAGAACCAAAACCTTGTCTTTGAATTACTGTCTATGTCTAAAGAGGTGACAATTTTTTTTAAAATTTCCTACTTTGTAACCTATATAAATTATCGAAAATATAAACACAATATAATTGACCATATTTAAAATATTATATTCATATAAAAGTATTATAACATATAATTTAAAATTCAAAATAATAATAATTACACTGCTATTTTATGTTTCTTAAATAGGTATAGCTGTATAGGTAATATAAGTAATAATCAATATACTAATACTTGTGGATGATTTTGTTTAAATCGTATTTAAAAATTGTCTTAATTTCCAAAAATTTAAGAGAAACATTTTAAATTTAATAAAATTATACATATTTTGTTAAGGTTTAGTATATTAGTTCAATAAATAATAATTTGATCGAACATAAATTATTGTACGATGTTAACACGCTTATTCACAATAAGGCATCGTTTTTGACCTATAGTTAAAATAAATTATATACAGAGTATGTACACCACTAAATATATTCACTCCATTTGTTCAGTTAAATTTTGAATGTATTCATTTTTTGTTAATGTTAATTTTTGGAATTTTCAAGTGTAGTTAAAGCCGATATTTTAGAATACGTGGTGATATCAACTTTCAAATGAGAACTTATATTAAAAATTCTATAAATATACGGAGTATTACTTCAAATAAACGTTGGTGTCAAAATGTTTGATTTCCGTTAACCCGTTGACAAGATATTCTACTTTTAATTTTAAGTAAGGGGAGAGTAGTGGAATATTATTTGTGTGGTGGCAATCCTCAATCCGTTGACGAAAATCAAAAATGTTGACACCTAAATTTATTTAAAGTAATACATCGTCAATTTATAGAATTTTTAATATAGGTTCTCATTTGAAAAACCAAGTTTAATACAGGGCGCTACAGGGCACTCCTTAAATGTTGTGGAAAATCTAAGTATTCGAAAATATCGACTTTAACTATACTTAAAAATTCCAAAAATCAGAATTTAAATATATACAAAATTTAATCAAAAAATGGAATGACCATGCAGTAAATCACTCTGTACATAATATTTTATTTATATTTCATTTAAGACGCCGTTATACCCGCATCTACTAGCTGTCTCAGTCCAGCTGCCGGGTAACATGCAAAAACAATGCTTACGCAGAATAAGTATAATTAGATTTGCTTTTAGAGTAAAATTATCTATTATGAAATTTATAGAGAACGATATTTCGGAAGGAATGTCATAGGTGTTTTTCGAATTATGAACTATTAAAAAAGTTACAGTTATTTATAACAGACACAATAAAAAAAAGAAGGTTTTTGTGTCTTTTATCGAGCTATACATTTTGAATAATTTGAAAACCATAAATTTCCTTCAATAAAATGTTCTCTATACATTTTATAATTTTACTCTAATATCAAAGTTAAGCTAGTTTTACTTATTCTGCGTAAGAATTGTTTTTGCATGTTACCCGGTAGTTGGACTGAGCCAGTAGATGCGGGATAACGTCATCTTAAGATTCTGAGTGGAGCGAAAAATATGTTGGTTTTAAAATTATGTTCAATTTGTCAGGAAGGTTATTTTTTAATTTTTCCAAGAGTTTTTCTAATAAATGGGAAAAACCAGGAAAAAACGGAAAAATTACAAAATATATTAGTAAAATATTACGGTCTTTTTTTTCTATGAACAAATTTTCTATCAGTAATTTTGCTCCAACTTTCAATTGCAGCACTTTTTCTAAAAGATTTTTCTAGCTGTTTTCATAAAACATTGGAAAAACTAGAAAAAAACATGGGGAAGACGGAGAAATAAGTAAAATATTAAATAAATATTATTAAAGAAAACATATAATGCATATTGCAAATGTAACTATTTTATAACAATATGACATATATATTGTTGACAAAGCAATACTATTAACCGAACTCCGCTCGGAATCGTTTTTCAGTAGCAATGGTTAATCGTTGCGTACAGCTATATATTCAATTTCCCCTCCACCTTTCCAAAAACTTCTCACCTACAACAGTGACCCATTTATCGTGCGAATTATGTCCGTATCTTTTTTTTTAAATTTATTTTATCACCTATTAATTCTATGTATGCAGCACTAAACTCTTTATAAAAGTCGCATGGTGTTAATTATATTAAATTAAAAAAAATATAGGTACATAACTGTATAGGTACCTTTTTTTACTAGTTTTTCTCCCTAACGTACGTGTACCTACAGCGAATGTATGGTTTTAAAACAAAATACCTATATATATATATTATACCTACATATACTTATAAGTAAGTAATTTTAATTACCTACCTAATGAACGTCAAAGTATCATTTTCTTCAAAGTGAATTTTTAATCTGACTTGTATGGGTTCATATACGTAATTATAACTTTATAATATAAAATCGTAATTTCCGTATTGATCTGTAAAAGAGACTCTATATAATATGTTGTTTCAATGTTTTCGAAAACGAATTTATCTTGTGTTTTTATTAATAAAACTCTTATATACTTCAAATAACTTCAAACGTTCTGAAACTAAATATTTTATTGACCTACTTTTGTTATCGTCGTAGACGTGAAATGTTTAATACAATATTGACTCGCAGAGTTTTTTCGATATTTTAAATTTTTGACACGCATAATTTGTTTGATTTGCTTTTATCAAAATCCTAACATTGAAATGGTTTCATTTGAATTGATTTGTAAATTATAAATATACTAATATAAATAAATGCTAATAATTCTATAGATATTTCATTATATTTCTGAACTTAATTATATAAGAATAGGTTTTTTTTCCAAATGTTCCGCCACTCGCTTGTCAAATGCGAATACTCTATAATAATTGTATTATTATAGAGTATTATTGTATTACCTTTATGGATTTCTATAGGAAAAATTGACTAAATCCCTATATCTATAATTTAAATTATATAAACTTTATTTTTATATTGGTATATTTGACTAATAAATGCTTAATATATCTAAACCAATGTTTTATTGGTTAATATGTGACTTTTTGGAGCCAAAAAATACGTGTTATTTCTAATATTACAGTACGCCAGTACCTTCCTAAAATTCCTAAATATTTTACTAATATATATATATTACTCATTGCTCTATAAAATTCAATCACAAGATCCATCGTTAATAATAACACAAATATGATCAATTAACATATATAAATATTATTTCGCGTTGACCACGTCATATAAATCACACCATCACCAGATTTAGGTACTGATTTCGAAATGCTTAAATCGAGTAATCGAAACTTATAAATTATGTTTGAGTAGACGAGAAGGTTAGGTTACTTATAGATTATTTGTTTATTGAGATCATATAATAAATTTTTAAGCTCAACCGGTTAAAATCATACTTAAATTAATTCGTTCATATAACACTCAATGCATCCAAATTAAATTTATTATCCTAGTGTTGTATTCACCCAGAAATGGTAGATAAAATATTTATGTAATTTAATTATTATTCCCCCACTTTCTGTTAACGTTGAATCTTTGAAAAAATGATCGATACTCGGCCAATTTCTTTCAAATTCGGTATAAATTAATGAACTTCTTCCATCAAATCAATTGGGTAATCCACCGACTACAGCCAATTACCGCTGTATGGTTATTGGCTATAAATTAAGTCAGCGTGGTCTTTAGTCAGATTTCTTAACTGTCAATAATTATTCATGGCTGTATTAATCACAAGAAATATACTTCCCTAGTATTTATCCTGTTTGAATCCATTGCTATCTGTCATTTACGTGTTCACTTATATTAATGACAATTCTGAATTAAGTTACGCTGTACCTCAATAGTTCTAAAAACCATGATCTTTCAATATTTCGCTAAATAAATCAATTAATAAATCAAAACTAATTATAACATTTGCTAGCCACAGACTTATTTAAATCTGTTTTAAAGCCTACCTATATCTATATCCCTAGAACTTTCTCGAAATAAATTTGCTTTATTAATGTTGTTTTTTGTTTATAAATCAACTTATTAATATATAATTATATTCAATTATTGTACCTAATTATCAAACTACCAATATGTCTAAATTTAAATTGTTTAAATTGTCATTATTTATACACATAAATATATTTATAAATACATAAATAAAAAGTTTCAATGATTATATTAAATAATATCTATAATTTTTCAGGTTAGCTTTGAGTGTTTGATCAAAGATGGATATTATGGATATATTGACTCCATGTGAAACTAATTCAACATTTCATTTAATTACTTCTGACGGTAAGTGTTTTATATTTAACGTATCTTACCCTGAAATAATCTAATAATGAATTAGTATTATTATTATTATATTATGACATAATATAATTGAATTTTAATTTAATAAAACCACAGATAGCAAACTATAATTATTCATTATGATAGATCTTTAGTCTCCTTAAAAATCTATCGATGAGTACAGTTGAGTATTCAGGAATTTTTTTGGGGGGGGGAGGATGTGTTGATTAATTAATAGTTAGCTATCATATAACAAAAAAACCATAATATCTAAAAATTAAGTAGATATTTAAAAACAAAAAACTATATTTGATATAATAATTAAAGATTTTCTGAAATTTCGGATGTGGATGCAGCTCCCTCAGCCTCCCACCTGTAAATGCCACTGGACACGAAGCTTGTACATTGTATAATTTCCACTTAATTAGTCTTATTTTCAGGGCTTTGCATCCGAATCAACCAAAATCCGTAACACCACTAAAAACCCTTAAAAATTTAAACACCCCAATTAAAAAAAACCCGAATAGTTATATATTCAGAGAATAACGAGGGATCTATTGGTTTTACTAGGATGTATTTTAAATTCTGAGTGTAGCGAAAAACGTATTGGTTTTACAAGGTGGTACTTTTGGGTGGGAGGTCATTTTTTGATTTTCCCGACAGTTTTCCTAATAAAAGGAAAAGTGAGAAAAAATGGGAAAATGTACGAAATATATTTATATAATCCTCGTTACCAATCCAGGTGTACTCATATAATTTTGTTATTATCTCTTGTAATGTATGGGTATTAGCCCGGCACAGTCTCTCTCCCGATGGCAATTCCGAACCATGTGCACCTTTTTTGTTGTTGGACATTTGTTAATATTAACCCTTTCAGTTCCGAATTAAAATTCTTCGAGTAAAACATTTTGCTTTGCTTTTTTTTGAATAATACTACTTGAATAAGAAATCATTCGGTTTAGAAATTATCATGCCCCAGTGCCACGAATTAAGAAATACTTAAAATTGTATAAAATTAGAATTATACTTATATCTTAATACGTGCCCAGTGCACATTTCAATGTGCGTACTTTTGGCACGTTATAGACGAAATGCGCATTATTATTATACAAAACCAAAATTATGAGAAGATTGAATATTTAGAATATAGAGTAATTTTCAAAAATTTCTGTTTGGACAAACAATTTTATTTATATGGTATAAAACCTACTGAATAAAAAAATTTAAAAAAAAAAATTAAAAAATCGTCAGAAATATATCGGAAATTTTACCACGTCTAGAATAGGCTGATATTTTACAGAATGTTAGGTTTCTATAATAGAAAACAAAAATTAAACAAATTTAAAATAATAAAATATTTAACGCCATACATTTATCCACTTTACGTTTTATCTGTTCTTCCTAATATTATGAAAACCCCTTGGAAAATAAAAATCTCCAGAATTCACATACTTAGGCCCGTTATCACCAACGTAAACGTTGATTTTTAAACGGAGTTTATAAGATAATCGACTAATCATGTTCAGTTAATAGCTATAAACACAGTTGTATTAGATAAACGACTTTTTTACGTCGGTGAGAACGGCCGCCCTTATCAAAAATTTAACTAAAAAGATCTCTTGAAATCTTTAAAAACAAAATGTTTGTTAAAAAAGTGGTTTATAAATAGAATAAACAAAATATTTTAAAGAGCATGCATTTTATGCTACATTCGAAATTTAAAAAGAGTAATAAGTACACTAATCATTCTTATTTGCACTCAAAAACTAAAAAAGTATGATGATCTTCTATTATTGTTGTTTTTCTAGGTAGACAATGTTGTAATAATTTTTCTTTCTTTGTTTCACTCATTTCCTTTTAAGTTTTTAGATTAAGTAAACAAATTATTATTTTAATATTTCTCTGTTTGGGTGAAATCATTATAAATCTTTTTCCACCACTTTGCCTCTTATTTCGGACACCTTGGCCCTAAATCTCCACCTGACAGTCCTGCATAACATAAAGTGATGCCCACCAGCACTCAGTTATTCGTAATCACTCTCGTTTATCTTCTTTTCGGGTTTCCTCTTTCCCTCTTTCTTTACACATCATTTTGTAAAATTTCACTCTTGAGTACTTTTATTAAGCAACATATGTCCCGTTAAATCATTAAGTAGATAGGAATAAATACAATTTTTAAATGTTTTAAACATACGTTACCATTACGATGGCTATCATTCAGAGTGATCAATCCACGATAAAAAACACTCCATTATCTCCAAAAATATTGACTATTTTCGGAATTTGTTTTTAATCAATTTAAGAAACAAACAGCTCTAAAATTTTTCATTTTCATTATATTTATCACTCTTATTTTAGATTCTGAGCGGTGCAAAGAAGCTTATGGTTTTACAAAGATGTTTATTTTTTTTAATATGAACACCTTTTCTACCAGAAAGCTTACTCCAATGTAGATACTTAAAAGAGGTCATTTTTCGATTTTCTTAAGTGTTTTTTCATCAAATGCGAAAAAAAAAAATAAAAAAACGGGAACATTTACAAAATAAATATAAATTACGATTTTTTTTTTCTATGGACAACTTTTCTACCAGAAATTTCGCAACAACTTTTAATGATAGCAATGTTTATGAAAGGAAATTTAACTGAGAAGGTACTTTAAAGAAATCATTTTTTTGATTTTCTCAAGAGTTTTCCCATCAAATGTGAAAACCGAGATTTATGTTTATGTGTATATTTATGTTTTAATATGGGAAAACCAGAAAAAACGTAGGGAAATTGGGAAAATCGGTACAACGTTAAACAAATATTATTAAAGATAATATGTAAAGCTTATATAATTATTTTACTCTAAAATTGCATATATATTATTGACAAATCATCACAACTGAATTCCGCTCAGAATCATTTTTTCGTAAGCAATGGTTTATTGTTGCTTACAGGTATATATTAAATTATTTATAACAGTGGCTGCACCCGTCCCATTATCTTACTACTTTTTTTTGGCCATGAAACGATTACTTACTTTTGATTTTTAAATGGCAACCTATATTAAAAATCCCAGTTATAGTTATAATTAAAGAGTATAAATACATTTTAGAACTGAAATTTTGTATTTCCGTCAACCTATTAAGAAGGAGTGTTACCCGTGATATTTAGTGGTAAAAACATACTTACGCAGACTGAATACAACTCGTTCAATATTGGCTATAGAGTAAAAACACCCATAGTAAAATTAAAAGATAAAAATATTTTACAGTGAAAAACGGTGCCTTTTTTCAAAAAAAGTATTTTTTGAAAAATTACAGGTCAATAAAAAAATTCTTAAATGGTTGTTAATTCTCGACGATATATTAAGTGTTGTATTTGGAATATTGGAAATAAAAGCACCATTTTTCATTCCAAAATATTGTCATCTTTTAATTATATAGTATGTTTTTTTTTTACTGTAAAACCAAAATTAAACGAGTTCTACTCAGACTGCTTAAACATGTTTTAACGCCGCAAAATGTAAATTGTGTACCGTCATGTGCTCCAAATGGCACCGTTAATGTTATTGCGAATTGCTCAGCAGATTGATAGAGTTTAGGAACACTTTTTTTTTATTCAGGTGGGACATATTGATTAATACTATTATTTAAGATTACCCATAGGCCATAATCACATATATTTTATTTTTATCATTTTTCATTATTTTCTTCAAGATCTATATTAAGTATAAAACATTTAATTAAAAGTTACAATGAAATATAATGTTGGTATATATACTAGGATTAAATGATATACAAAGCGAGTCAGCATTTAAATGTTTTATAAAAGTATTTCTAGCACACGAAAACCGTATTAATATTGTATTATATATGTCAAATGTTAGAATTGGAATTCCACTTTTAAGTTAACGTAGAGTGAAATTAGTGAACCATCATTTATGTGACATTCGGAGTTTGAATAGTGCTCCACTACTCTCCCCTACACATACTTAGAACTTACTTGAGTGTCTTTTCGAAAATTGATCATCTTGTATAGTAAGAGCATATCACATTAATTCAAATTAACGCTTCATTCTTTGAGAATAGTATTTTACAACATATGAAGCAAATCAATTTTTATTTACAATACATTTAAAATTGTACCTAACATTTTTATTACAGAGAAATTCTGCAATTGGATTTATGACGAAAAAGCATGTTGGCCGATGGCAAAAGCGAATACAAGCATATCTCAACCATGTCCGAAAGAAGTTGGATTTGACAAAATGAGTATGTAAATAACAAAATATATTATTATTACGTTTCAAATTATTATTGACTACTTTTGATGAGCTTATAAATGTAAGCCCTCTTATGGGTAATTTAACAATGTAAACTAATTTTTAACTTTTTATGGTTTTGTGTTTTATTACCTATAACTTTTTAATATTATAAAATATTATAATTTTTAAAATTGAATATCTTATAAAAATCTAAGTATGTGAAATTCTTCTTGAACTTATGCTGTATATGCAAAAAGTACACTATACTTATTTTAATGTTTATAGGTGTTTTATGAATATTTACCAATCCTCAGTGCTCAAATTGGAAAAAGTAGAGAGACTAAAAAAAAAAAATTATCCTTTTTAATTATTGGTCACGACTTCCTAATGAGGAGGCTTTGCCCCCCACAACTCCCTTACATCAATTTGTCTGTCTGTGAACCACTTTTCTACTAGAAATATTTCTGTGATCATCCAATTTAGTGGTGGTCTCTGATAGGAAATTTTGTTTATTTGGTGCATTAAGAATGAGATGTTTTTTATTTTCCTTGTAGTTTTCTAATGGGACAAAATAAAATTCGAGAAAAACTTCTTAAATTCTGGAATATTTACACAACGTTTTCTGTTTTTTCAATTTTGTCTTTTGTTATCATTCAGTGAAAACTAACCGTAAAGGGTTGAAATTTCATCGAATACTTTTATAATCCCTTTCCAGACATAGTACAATTTTCAAAGCATTCTAGAATTTATTTAATTTTTTTTTTTACTATTTATAGCCATTTGAAATGTTTAAGTTTTTTTAGTTTTTATTTAATTTTATGTAAACAAAAAATTTTCGTCTAAGCTCGATATTTAAACACAAGGTGTTTCATGAAATTTAATTAATAGTAGAAAAAAAATCGAGTAGTAGGTATGTAGGGGAACACGTAAAAATCTGGAATTCTTTTCTGTGAACAACTTTTCCACCAGTCATTTTGGTCCGATTTACAATGATAGCACTTTTTCTGAAAGGAAATGTGACTAAAGTACCTTCCCATTTTAGAAAGGTAATTTTTCAATTTTCCCAAGAGTTTTTCCAGCAAATGTGAAAACTGGGAAATATGGGAAAACCAAGAACAATAGAAAAATTGGTACAATATTAAACAAATATTGTTAAAGAAAATATATAATGCCTATTTAATTATTTTACCATGATATGACATATATATCGTTGAAAAAGCATCACTATCAATTTAAACTCACTCAGAATCGTTTTTTCTTTATAAATAGTTTATCGTCGCTTATAGATATATACATTAAATTCCCTTCTGTTTCCTTCCTTTCCAACTTCCCATCTACAACAGTGGCTGCACCCATGTGTGAAGGTATTTCCGTCTCTTTTTTACACGAATTTAAAGTTTAAATTGTGTTGAAATTATTTGTTTTGATAAAAATATGTGTAGGAGCCATACTAAGCATAAACAAATAGTATAAGTTCCTTTCTCCCCTCCCCCCAAATCAAGCATTGTCTTTAACACTATACCTACTACTAACTAAATAAATTCTGTTTAAAGGTAGATATAGACGTTTACAAATATTATGTGGTTCTCAGTGGTGTATTTAAGGGGAAAGATCGGGGATAAATCTCCTCCCTTGCCATTTTTTTTAGAAGTTATAATAATAATATTTCAATGTTAGTGTTATAGTAGATAGAATTATAGAATACTAAAAAAAAAAAATAATAATAAATTTAAAATTGGAATATTTTTTTTTGTTTTATTTTAGCCTAGGTATCGCCATTGTGTTACACCCGTACCTATACATACTATACAATCTATACCACAAAATATTTCAAAATTAATTTTCCCCCTTCTAGGTAAAATCCTAAATATGCCACTAGTGTGACTCAGTTATTACATCTGTATAGATACAATTTGTATTATTATTGTAATTCTTAATGAATATTTTTCTACAAAAATGTATGATTTACTTTTTAGTTGAATATATAATTTCCAGATTTACGCACTCACTTTCTTTTTAAAGTAAAATACTTAAAATAATTTCTTTGAGCTATAAAGCAACTACTACAACTATTATTAAATTCAGTTATTTAAACATTTATTATTTTTAATCAGTAAAATAATGCATGTAACCAGATGAAAAAAAACATGGTGTCTGATATACTTAAATAAGTATATAAAAATCCTACTGTTTTACGATTTTGTATTAAGTGTGAAAAATAAAAAAATACCTAACACGACAATCATTTTTTAACTGATTGTTAATGCCGCAACTACCTTCAGGGCAGTATTTTGACCATTAAATAAGACTTATAATGAATCTTTTGCTAAATGTTCAAGAATTTCTGTTTAGTTTAACAATTTTATCCACAGACGGTCAACTAAATAAAAATCACATAAAAAACTCCCAAAATTAAAGTGTCTATAACTCAAAAATGGCTTAAATATGTTGAATATTTTACCACATGTTTAAAAGGCAAATATAAATTCTTTGTAAAATTATCAAGCCTCTTCAAATAGTGTTAACTGAATTACAACAAAAAAACATTATTGAAAATAATTAAAGTATTATTATTATTCTCGTAATTTTTCCCGTTCTTTTTACTTTTTTGTCTGTTTTGCTCAATTATTAAAAAAAAATACAGGGAAAATTAAAAACCGAAATTTTTACTTACCAACTACAATTAGAAATGCAATAAAAAAGATTGCGTTTTGTTTTTCTATTAGAGTAATATTTCGAGTAGAAAACATGCCGTCAAAATTTTTGAAATAAAGGAATTATAATGCCATACATTTATAAGTCTTCATTTTTCGTTTTTTTCCGGTTTTTCAAATTTAGTTTTCATATATGCCTCAAAATATTTTAAAATTGAATGAACATAATATTTTAAAGACAACTTATGACTTTCAGTTATTTTATAAAAATTACATAAGTACAAATAAAACCAGACAAATGCTACGCATTCAAGTGCATTGCTCCGCTAGATTGACGCCATAATACCGTTTCCCTCGAAGATATTGTAATATCTCCAGAGATAATAAAGATAGTCAAGTTCTGTTTTTTGTTTTTATATTACTCACAAGGATAAAGACTACAAGTATTTATATTTCAATTTTGTAAAAATACTTAAAAAAAATTACTTTATTTTTGAAAAATTTGAATGTAACTATTTTGTAGAGTTTATTCTTCTGAATATTTTATTAAATTTGTGATATTTAATAATTTTTTAAATTTCAGAAAAAATATGAATAGTCAATTAGCCATAATAATAATAATCAATTAGCGAATTCGATTACAGCAGGCTGCATAATTATAGGTACTTTTTTTTAAACTTTAAAAAGTTATTAAAAATCACGAATTAAATAAAAATAAAAAGTTGAAACTTCAACATTTTTAGAAGAATAAACTCTATAAAATTGTTTTATTTATAATTTTTCAAAAATTATAAAATAAAAAGTTATTTTTTTATTGTTTACTAAAAAATAAAAATGTAATGCAAATATAAATATTTTTAGTCTTAATCCCTGCGAGTTGTTTATAAAAAAAAAAAAACAAAATTTTTTTTTTTTATTATTCCAAGAAATATCGCAATGGGTATATTTTCGTGGGATACACTGTATAGTATTAAAGTCCTAACGTGGGGTCTCGAAAAAAATGTTTACGCTGGGGCCTCAGTATTATAGTTGCGACGCTGCTGATCGTGAAATAAAAAATTTAATTTCGTAATTTTAATTTTAGAAATGGTTTATAAGTATTGTACAGAAGACGGTATATGGGAAAACGTAACAAATTATTTTGGATCAACCGATTACAGTAGCTGTTATATGCCAGAATTAGCAGACATTCTAAAAAAACTTGGATCAGATTACGATACAAAAGTACTATCAGATAATTTGTATAATTAAAAATATTATTACTTATATTGATTTTATCTTAATGTTTCTTTTTCTTTTAAGCAAAAACTTAACATAGCTATAAATACCGGATTAATAGAAATAATTGGATGCCTAGTATCAATCGTTTCATTAATCATATCACTATGTATTTTTGTTAGACACAAGTGAGTATAATTGCATTCAATTATTTATTAGTGCATCATAATAACATTTGCTGTCTCTATTTAACCGAAAATATAGTAAAAATATGTTTTCGTACTTTCCTTGTATGTTCTCATGTTCTTCTATACATAGATCTAAATCTATAATCTAAATATCTAATAACTATCTAAATAACTAATGGATCATTAAACCAAATTAAAAATCACAACATTTACTATGCTTTTTCATTGGAGTTTTTGATACAATAATTATACAATTTTCTATTAAAATACAAATATATATTTATATTTTTTTTAAAGTTTGAAGTACAAATAGATTATCTGGTAAATGGTTATCAAAAAATACCCCAGTGAATGTATAACAAATATTGTAATCTTTAATTTGGTGAAATAATTTTTGTTTTAGATCCCGAGTACTATTGGAAATACGAAAACACATTTTTTCTATAAATTCCATTAGGTAGATAGAGACAGAAAAATGTTATTGTGACGCCCTCTTAACAATGGGCACCTTTTACTTCTTTTTCTTACGCAAATAAAATCAGTTACCCTTATCCTCGCCATTCATAACTTATAATTCAATAGCAATCAAAATTTCATTAAATTTGTGATTTTTAAATTTGATATGGTAATTTAATTATTTAAAAACTAGTTTTAAATAAAAATTTTAGGTCATGCGAGTACCTATATAAAAAATATGCAAAAATCTTTATTTGTGTAATGTAGGTGTTAAATTTTTATTTTATTATTTTAGGGGCTTATTAGAACAAAGGTTCAAGATACATATGAACTTATTTGTTGCCTTGTCACTACAAATGTTAATCAGACTTATTTTAAATATTGAAAAATTGGATTTATTTAAAACAAAAAATTATCGTAAAAATGTAACTTGTTTGGTGGATTGTAATAACCAGACCCATTTAATTACGAGTGGTGAACATTGGGTTTCAGGAATCATGTATATGGTGAGATAAAAAATATAAAAAGTTAATGTTTATTAATACTAATAATTAATCAATGGTACGCAAATTTTAGCCAATGGTTTGTGAGAGTGTTCAAGTTATATTAGAATGGTCAAAAACTGCTAGTTTTATGTGGATGTATAATGAAGGAGTATATCTCTACCGAATTATAAAATCAAGAGTTTTAAGAATAAATTCAATAAACGTCCGTATGTATATATTTGGTTGGGGCTTACCAGCCTTGATGACATCTATATGGTTATTGGTAACTATGGTTCACTATAAAGAATCATCCAGTGTATGCTGGTGGGGCTACAGTTTGATACCCTTTTTTTGGATACTTGAAGGACCTCGTATAATAATTATTATTGTAAGTTATGATTTATAAATTATTGTTAACTTACTTATTTCAATTTATATTTTCAATAGGTAAATTTTATAATATTAATCATCGTATTAAGAGAGCTTTTGAAGAAAATTAAATCTAAAATAGCACCATCAAACGAGCTGGATATGATAAGGTACTGTCATTATTTTATATGTTTAGACGAAAAGTACATTTTTAAATGTTTAAAATATTGTACATAAGTGTAATTAATTTTAATTTTTCCATTAAGTTCTTAAGATCAGCAATATAATTATTATGATTATTTTTTGCTTTCTAATAACAATTAGATACCTAAATAATTAATTAAAATATAAAATATTGTGGGCATTTGAAAATTGTTATGCTATCATCAAATCTTATTTAATCTTAATATATCTGTTTAATATTTAATTTTGTTTTTATCTTAGACAAGTATCTAAAGCAGCAATAGTTCTTGTTCCTTTACTTGGGATTACAAATTTCATATTATTAATATTACCAGAACCTCATTCGAAAAGTCCAGAATTATTTGCATTCTGGTCATATTCAGCACATATATTACACTCATTCCAGGGTTTTATGGTATCAATATTATATTGCTTTATGAACAAAGAAGTAAGTATTAATAAATTGAAAAAAATTAATAATACACTACACGAATACATATTATTACAATAAATTAATTGTAATTCCAGTATAATAAAATATACTACCTACATATTGCGTAGGTATATAGTATATAATATAATACACCACCCTTTCTTTAGTGTGGAAACGGTAATTGAAAACACTCATTATCTCTACACTGAATTATGTAATTTGAATTTAGTGTTTTCACACCATTATTACACATCTTAACCTAACCGGGTCGTATAAAAACTATTTTGTAACCTGTTGGTTCAATAATTTATTAGTCGTGTTTTGGTGTTCTAAACAATTTAGTAATTAACTTTACGGTTACATATTCCAATTAGAAAACGTTTACTGAATCGCCGAAACAAAATTTCGTAATTTTGGTTTCCAACATATTACAAATTATATAATACTATCACAAATTATAATTCACGTTGTTTTTGAATTTTCAAATTTTTTTTCTCCTCGCCTTTGTACTTGTGTTTTTCAGATTTCATATGATAATTAATTAGTTATAATATAATATTGCTGATATAATATATCGAGTTAGGTACCTTGTAACGAAATTCACTAAACAGTTTACTCGTGGTTAGAACACCAAAACAAGCTTAATTCTGTAAAAATACTGATAGATAATTAACAAATTGTATTGCATAAACGAATTTCATTATTTAAATATGAATGTCTCATCAGTGTCTTAACCGGCATCATGGTATAACCACTTTTTCGTTCATCACTTATCAGTAGAAATATTTTTTCCATTCAAATTTTATTATAAACTGACAATACAATTTTAAGTAAAGTTTAAACGTCTAATAAAGATGGGGATGTCTTACAAACATTTTTATAAAATTTGGAAGAATATTACTATACTAGTATAGAGTATATTATTATACTCTAGTCTAAGGGAATAATTAGGTTGTCACAATACAGAATAGCGTCAAAGTAATATTTTTATTATTATTTAACACTTTATATAGATGGTATTTTAGAAAAGTATTGTTTTAATTTCCTTGTAATTATTAAGAAAAAAAGCTGTCCTGCGATAATAAAGATGTGTGCAGCCACTGTTATAGGTAATTTAATGTACACCTGTAAGCAACGATAAACCATTGCTACCGAAAAAACGAGCAGAGTTTAGTTGATAGTGATGCTTTGTCATATTATCGTAAAATAATTAAATAGGCATTATATATTTACTTTAATAATATTTGTTTACTGTAGTGTCATTTTTACGGTTTTTCCTATGTTTTTCTCGATTTTCCCATGTTTTTCTCGGTTTTTTATATTTGCTGGGAAAAATCTTGGGAAAATCGAAAAATAACCTTCCTAAAGTACCTTCCTAGTCAGATTTCCTTCAAAAAAAGTGCTATCATTGTAAATTGGAGCAAAATTGCTGGTAAAAAAGTTATTTTCACAGGAAAATAGAAGGCCGTAATATTTTTTAACTGATCTACATTTCTTATATTTTCTCGTTTCACCTCCGCTTTTTTTGAAAAATGACCTCTTTAAAGTACTTTTCCACACCGATTTACTTTCAGAGAGGGTGCTACACTTAAAAATCGGAGCAAGATTTCCAGTAAAAAGTTGTGCACAGATAAAAAAAAAAATAAACATTTTTGTAAAACCATAAACGTCTTCGCTCCATTTAGAATCTGAAACAGAGATATTAATATTCGAACTATAATATATCACTTATTTTTACTATAACAGATTATGGATAAGGTACCAACCAAGGTACCAAGAGAACCTAAATCTTAGATTATACAAATAAATTATAATTAAATAATATGATATAGTTTTAAAATTAAACAAATATTCCACTAGGAGGAGAGTAGTGGAGTATTATTTATGTGGCGGTATGGCGCGCGGCGTGTTAATAATGCACCACTACTCTCTTCTAACCCAACCTTAAGTGGAATATCTTGTCAACGGTTTGACACCCACTTAAATGGATCACCCGGTACATTGAGTCCGCCAATTACTACGTCGTTTCCAGTCCTGTATATCTTAGGCCATGTCATATACAGACTGTGCTTATATTAACTAATTAAATAAACTATTTTTTTTTTTATTTCAGATAAAGAAGTCTGTTAATAAACGAATGATGCGCCAAAAATCACGACGTAATTTTAATTGAACTATTGAATTGTTTTCAATTATAATTTATTTAAAACTTATATTATAACTATATACCTATTATATAGATATTTTGATTAGTATATATATATATGTAAATATTAGATTTTATTTATAGATACATTATATATTATATATTATACATTTATACAACGTTCAGTTAAACATGTTTCGATAAAACTTAAATTTGAAAACTGTATTAATTTTTAACAACAAAAGTAAACTGAGGGTTAAATTATACTTGTCCGTGTTTTCGTCTTAAATGTTTTAGCATTATACGACCCCGAAAAAACTATACACCTGCACATAAATCAGAAAATAGTACACGAAATGCCGTAATGTTCACGATTTTCATAGAAATTTGAACTTTAAACGCTTGTACAAAAATATCACGACTACGGATTTTTGACATTTATAATATTATAGTGCCATAAGAAAAACTTATGATGGACCTTTTATCCTCATCATATAAAAAAATGAAAACTCGAACATTTCAAATAACAATAAATAACTCAAAAACCGTCAGTCTTTTGAAAATTATATCACGTCTAGAAAAGACAAACGTACGACTATAAAGGGAAATGATCACAGACTGTTGTCTAATTATTAACAATCGTTCGAGCCAAGTAACACAGGGGCGAAGCGAGGGGGAGGGGTGTTTTAGTGTTTAGACACTCCCTCCCTGGCCATATTTATGTCAACAGTCATATTTACTATATGCATCAGATTTCTACATAATGTGTTGTGTTACGCATAAATAATTATTAATTATATGTTATGTGTATTATGTCATATTTGCACAATAAAATTACAAAGTTACATCTAAACATAAAATAAAAATACCCCACTAAAAAAAATCCTAGCTACATCAATGGAATAACACATAGCTTGTTTTGCTCCTTAGATGACTACCATTATTGAGCTATACATTAAACTATTATTGAATTTTTATTTGTTTACATCAAATCCTTTGTCCTCACGGACGAGGAGTTTATATGAGTACGTTACGAAAATCGACGAGGAGAATTCGGGTTTGGAAAAACTGAAGTCGGTCATTTTCAGATCGAATTTCGGTCGATTTAGCCGACTACATAGTAGTATTAAAAAAAGTGCATATTGTGGCCGACCGAGGTAAGTTTTATAGTAGGGTAACTCTACGATCCAGTTTCGGCACTACTTTGCTTCTGACTAGACTTTGAGCGTTACTGGCGTCTAGCATTATTTCAAACATCTTCAATAATCTATTTAGTATTTACTAAACACAATAAACATTCACAAAAATTGAAATGTGTATTATTGAATCATTTTAACACTTTGTATATGTGTAACTTTTATAAAGCTAAGATAGTAAGGTTATTAGGTACATAATAAGTACCTAATAATTATACCAAGTTCTCAAATTGGAACCATAAAAGATATAGAATCTGTGCAACTTAAATACAATTAGTGTTCCTCGCAATTATTGTACTTAACTCGACCACTTCCCCTCCCCCAACCACATTCTCTATCCTTCTTTTACCACTTTTCAAACATTATTCAATGCTAATTAATAATTTACAAAAAAGAAAGACCGATCATACTCCCAGATAAATTTAATTTATACATTTATTTCTTATAATTTTCGTAAAGTACTCAGTATTAATTTTTAGATCTTGATTAAATTAGGTATCTAAACATAGGGCTGGATTAGTTCGGTGCGTAATCGATCAAAACATTTTCTCTAATGGAAAAACCTCGTAGATAAAATACCTCATAAAAAAAAAAAATCTCTACGATTAATGTTAGAAAAAAAGAAAGAATTAATATTAATACTATTTATTATTATTAGGTATTTTTATTTTAATATACATTTTTAAGATTCTGAGTGTAACGAAGAATGTATTGTTTTTACAAAGATATTTATTTTTTATTTTTTTATACTGTATACAAAAATTATACGAGAAATCTTGCTCCAATGTGTACGATGCAGACCTTTTCCTGAAAGAAAACTTTCTTGGTAATTTAAGAGATTTTTTTTTTAATTTTTCAGGAATTTTCTTATAAAATGTGAAAAAGAAAAAAAAAGAAAAGGAAAAACTGGAAAATGTACGAAATATATTTGTAAAATATTACGATTTTTATTTTCTGTGGACAACTTTTCTACCAGCGATTTTGCACCGATTTAAAATGATAGCACTTTTCCTAAAAGGAAATCTGACTATGGAGGTACTTTAAAAAAGTAATTTTTCGATTTTCATAGGAGACTTCACAACAAATGTGAAAAGCCGAAAAAAAACTGAGGAAAAACGGGAAAATTTACGAAATGTAGGTATTTAGTAGTTAAAAAATATTATGAGCTTCTTTTTTTTCTGTGAACAACTTTTCTACCAGCATTTTTGGTCCGATTTACAATGATAGCACTTTTTTTAAAAGAAAGTGCGACTGGTAAGGTACTTAAGGGAGGCCATTTTTTGATTTTCCCAACAAATGTAAAAAACCGGGAAAAACAGGAAAATCGGATCAATATTAAACAAATTTTTATTAAAGAAAATATATAATGCCAATTTAATTATTTTACCATAATATGACATATTTATATGTTGTATACATAGTCCGGAATTGTGTATTTCTCAAGTACAGTAATTTGTGTACACATCGCGAACTGTACAATGTGCTGTACAAAGTAACTATATTTTATTAGTTGCATTATACAATTCATGTACAGCAATCATTGTACACATTGAGAAATAAAATATAAAATACGTGAAACTATAATAATAGTTATTTCTTAAAAGTATTTTCAAAATAAATATTATATATATTACGAGGTCTGTTCAAAAAGTACCAGGATTTTATTTTTAATAATTACAAAAATGAAGTTACATATTATTTAAAGATATTGCCTTCAAAATACTCTCCTCCAGACAATATGCAGTGGTTCTAGCGATCTTGCCATTTTTCTAAAGTCCTTTGAAATTGTAAAGTCTAAAATTGTGAAATCTAAAGNTACTTGTATTTAAGTACCTACCTTAATCATGTATTAGTATAATAAAATATTGATTATATTTAACAAATCTTAATCAATAGTGATGTTTTTAAAACCACATAAAATAAATTAAAAAAATTGTTTTTAAAAACCTTGTAACATTTTTATTAATATATTTTAATTTAACAATCGAACAATAGTCTAGTACTATTTAAAAAAATAATATTTTAACAATCTTGTAATGTTTTTTTATCATATTGGAATACAACCCCTTACTACGAACTGTGTGATTTATCTAAATAAGATATAATTGTACTATATATTTGGTTCATCTAAACACGATTCAAAGATAAAAAATGTTTTGTAGATCGCGCAGTATACTGGTAAGTTATTGAATGTTTTACACTATTATTATTTTAAAAATTAATCAGTCATTCATTAAACTGTTTAATGTTATATCTATTTATCTAAAAAAATATAATAAGCGCTCGCACCGAAGTCATAAAAATGTATTCTGGCAAAACAAATTTCGAGTGACCCCTTTGACTAAACACAAGCCTTTTAATGCCCAAAGATATTTGTTAGGTTTGGCAAATAAACTCTGGTCCAAAATGTTACCATTCCAAATTATCATCTCGCCTAACTTTTAAAAGAAACGTCAAAGAAAAATATCAATGTTTTTTTTTTATCATTCCAGAAGAGTCAGTATCCGATCTATAACTTTCATTAATTACATTTAAATATGAGTCAAATAAAATTAGGCAATATAAACACAACATCAATCGGCTCTTTGATGATACCGCCGTGTCGTCATCATTCTCTCGCACTATATACCATTATAATTATTTCTATGCAAATTTCTAATCAAAACGTAACACTATTTTTTTTTATGGTTCACCTTTTGTTTTGGCTTATATAAACATATAAAATTAAATGGTTATTTAAATTGAAAATGAAGCGTCTTGATCCCTCGAGAAATTCCAAGTCGATCACTCTATCGAGAATCCTGCACACAGCAACAACTACGTTTCACCAACTTCTTTTGATGATCTCTTTCAAAAAGCTTACTCCGACATTTACCAGCTATAATAACTCGTGTTCGATTTATTTATTAATTTACTTTATCGATTATTGTTTGTCCATGGTGCACAAATTCATAATGAACAATGTCTTCAATATCAAAAAAATTATAAAAATTATATATAATTTGCCGATAAAAAATATCAGCGTTGTCTTGACATTCGATTTACTTGGCGAGCTTTTTTTGGTCGAGCAGAAAATTTTGTTTTCCACTGAGATGACTGTAACTGTGTTTCCGGGTTGTACCCATAAACCCATGTCGTCCCCTGTAATGATGTGTTTTATGAAATTTATATCAGCAGATCGATTTTTAAGGTCTTGACAAATCTTTAATCGATTTTCCTTTTGTTCCGATGTCAACATGCGTGGAATGAATTTAGCAGCTACCCTTCTCATCTGTACATTTTCCGTTAAAATTTCATGACAAGATACAATTGGAATTCCTGCTTCATTCGCTAACTCGCGAACAGTTAATCTGTGGTTATTTCGAAGTTTTTCTTAAATGTTCGCCACAACATCATCGTTTCTAGATGTCGATAGTCTTCCAGAACGTGGATCATCTTTAATTGACTATCGACTATCCTTGAAACGATTAAACCACTCGAAAGTAACGGAGTGACTTAAAGAATCGTCTCCAAAAGCAGTTTTAATCATTGTGTACGTTTCAGTTGCATTTTTACCAAATTTCAAGCAAAATTTGATGCACACACGTTGTTCGTTAATTTCGGACATGACGAGAACGGAGAAGGAAACAAACTGTATAGATTTAACCACGTAGAATATTAAACTGAGATAAAATAGCGACTTCGGGTTTTGTTCAAAATATTCTCTAATACGTTGGGAATACATCTAATTATAATTTAAAACGTTATCATGTATATATTAGCTGCAATAATATTTGTCCTGGTACTTTTTGAACAGACCTCGTATATATATATAGATATTATATTATATAT